TTTCTCTTAATTCCATTCAATTCTTCACTGTTTACAAATGTTACAAATATTTCAGGGTCATGTCAGTGTATCATGATATACCTGCAGAAGATCAAGTCAAGAATTTACCAAATACCATTTCAAGCGTCCAATCTTCATCTGACAGAATCAACCAAATCAATGTAAAACACGTTTCAAGACACGAAGTAGTACTGTCCTATTATGTCAATGATATAAAGATTGTCAATTTCAATATCATGGAAAAGTTGAAAGAACTATGTTCTGCCACTGAAGAACAAATTGCATCAGCTAACCTGACTATTGATAACCAATTTGAGACTTTTAATATTCAAGATAGCTTTTCATCTGCAGAGCAGTTCAAGACTATTTGGTCCTTGATTCAGAGTGAGGTAGATAGAATCTTGACACTTATCTCAGACATGGAAAGTGAAATTATCAAATCATGTGAGCATGCACGTATTGACTGTATCAAGCAAGTAATGACTCATTACTTTGATTTGTTAAAATCTGCTGGTGTTTGGGATAATAGAAAGCTAGTAAGTTTTTTCGACAACGACCAGTTATATTTTAATATAGACTTGTTGGAAAACTACAGAAGATATGCAACAATTGCTTCAAACATGAAAAACAGTACCCTTTTTAAGTTGCTTGATAATCGGAGGAATTGGGAAAAACATTTGCTGGGTTGGCGTGATTTTCTTGTCCAAAAGAATTTATCTGTAGTACAGGAAATGCTGCAAAGTGACGAGTTTACCAAATCCAAGGAAATAAAAACGTGTCGATCAAAAGCCTTTGATGAAATGAAAAATATTGATGACCTAATAATTGACTCTTATAAAGAAATTTTGTTGGGTCTTCCCTACATCAGTAAAAGGCAAAATTCATTTGAACGGAAGATAACGGAAATGTTGCAGAATAAAGAAAAAATTGCAAGAATCTACCTAGATAATGCCACCATTCACTTTCAGACACTCATTAAAAAAATTGAGCAGAAATTGTCTGATATAAAGGAAGTTCTGTTCAGAGAAGCTTCTTTTTCTGAAGAACAGTTCCAGAAGTCATTTTCAAAATTTATAAATGATGGAAACGAGAGCTATGAAAAGATTGCAAATGAAGCTTTAAAAATGGATGAAGCTGACATCAAAGACAATCTTGACACAATGGGTGGAGTTCACAGTTATATGATGCAACTTCTACTCAGTGTCAGTGAAGCTTGGGGAGAAAATGCAGAGCAAATAAAGAATCATAGAAAGGAGCTATTAAATGACATGAAGAATTGTAGAGATCACCATAATGGTTCATCAAAGATAACCGAAAGAGAAATTGACAAGACTTTGGACAAAATTTCCGAAGTGTCGTCTTCTATGAAGCTTGATAAACTACTTGAAAGAGTAGCACAGAAACTCAATGAGCTGAAACAGAAATTGGATGACCTTTTTTCTCAAATGGAGTCACTTATTTTGGCTTATCCACAGAGATGTTCAAATCAGAGTAGTCTTTATGAATCGTCTTTGCTGAGACTCATAAGTTTGAAAAGGATAAGTCGAGACAGTACAGATGCATCACCGCTGTCAGATCAAAGCAATAAGATTTATGAAATCAATGAAGACTGTTATATTTTGATAGGTGGTCAGACATTTCTGCAACTTCATGCTCATGAATGCAATCCTACAATAACCTCTAAAATGCTTCAGTTTCACGATACCATTCAGTCATCATTACGATCACAAATGATCATTAAAGAGTTGATGGAAATTGCCAGTCAAGTTATTGTGGACCACATTTCATTAAACGCCAAGAATTACAAAGAGACATATGAATTTTGATTCTTAAACTTCAAAATGAAATAGCGAAAGAAGAAAAAGTCAGAACAGATGTTCACAATCCACGGGAAAAACTCATTTATGCTGAGTTTGAGTCAAGAAAAAAAGAGCTTGACAAGTTCCAGTATTCATTCAAGCAACTTTATCTGTGTTTTGACCAGTTCGATACCAAATTGACCAATATCGAGAAAGATTTTACCAACAATGCCGGCACTATTATCACTTCTATTGAGGAAGCAATAGAAAAAGCCTGCAAAAAGCAGTTATTGATGCGGAAATCTAAAGAGCTAAGCTGTCATAACACTAAATTCATGGCAGTCCTTTTCAACTGGGAAAGAAAAATTTCCGATAAAGCCAAAATCGCCCTTTCAAGAATAGACAAAGATGCAAAGGTGATGCGGGAAACCGAAGAAAAGTTCATGGAATATGCCAAGTCAGGTAATTTTGAATGTGGAGAAAAGTCCAAATATTTTTTACAATTCTGTGAAAGAAGAGATCATGCAAGAAACATGACCATGATGACCAAGCGCAACCTGAAGTATGTCGAGACTCAAAAAAATAAAAAGAATGCTACTGCAATCCAAAACTACAAAACTCATTACAAGCATTGTCTCTTGGATTTATTTTTCTTAGAAATGAAGTCGTCGTATCTGTCTAAGGTAAGGATGCAAATAAAAATTGATTTTACTGATCGTGATATTACCCTCCCTACAATCAAGGGCCAGCTGAAGGATATGGAGAAATCGATAGCTGAATTGGATACCACACAACCAGATAACATTTTGAAAAATGTCCAGGGCATTGCATCATCTTTTACAGATTTATTTGGGGAGATAAAATCGTTAATTAATTTTTACAATTTTCGATGCAGCCCTATTTCAGTTCCAGCTGAAATTCTTTGGATCAAATTAACGAACTGTATAAAGGTTTCAGTGCCATTGATCCATCCATTGAAGATACTATCGAATTCACCAAAAATATATTACAGCTGACGTCATCATCATGTAAAAATGAAAATATTTATAATGTGGAAGGATTGATAGAAAATTCTGATGACAACTGGGTTGCTGACAGTGCTAACATAGAAAAGAAATATTTGTCTGGTAAAATCACTTGTGTGTATGGGGTTGGAGCAAATATTTTGGATGTATCAGACCAACCTTGGGTAAGTACCTCAACTGCTAAGGCATCAGTAAATTCGTTTTGGCTGAGCAAGAATCCAGAGGGGCTGGAAGCACTAAAAGGACTAAAGACAGAAAAGAAAATTAGGAACAGCTTGGTTGGATTAACTGCAACAGGTGAACCTACTCAAGGAGAAAACTCTGGGTCTAAGTTGAAAGAAGTATCAAATAAGATTAGAAATCTTGTTGCCAGGACTAAACAACCCCAACAGAACATAAATCATTCAAATGAGGCTAAACCATCACAACAGAACATTACTTATTCCACTTCGTCTTCACAAAAATTACCCACTATAACTGATAGTGTAATCGAGAATAGCAGCCCTATCTCCTACCCTGCAGCGATTCTACCGAAGTTAGATAAAACTGGAGAATGCAATGGTGAAAAAGCTATATCTGAAAAAATCGATGGCAAAAAATCTTCTATATTCAAATTGCCTGTTATACCACCAGCATTTACCATAAACCAAACGATACTAATCTTAGAAACGGTTCTTTTAACCAAATGAATATGGCTAAAGTTTTGAATCTGAATAAAACAGTCGACCTTCTAAGTAGAACATCAGTTGCTAGCAGGCAAAAGCGCTCAACATGCTTCAATCAACGACAACAAAATACTCCAATCTACGATTTTCTAATTATGACTGATGATGAACTGAGAACGTTTGTCTTCGATCCACTCGGCTTTTTCAATCTTGAAAAGAGAAAGTACAATGTGAGCAATCTCTGTGAAAATATTGTCAGCATCACAGAGAAGGTGAAATTTTATTTACTGCATTTCCAAGAAGATTTTATCATCTCATGTCTTTTATTTTATCGTCAGAGACATTTAAATATAAAGTACCGCCAAAGAATGAAGCTAAATCATGTCTCGGCAATCCGTGATTTTACCAAAGACATGAAGAAGTATTTAGAAAATATTCACAAGCAATGTGATGATAGAGTTCAAAAGATAAAAATCATGTTATCCTCAATGTATGATATATTTTTAGATGCTTCTTTGATTACTCTTGACAAGATTCTTTTCAAATTCAAGAATGACTTTACTGAACTGTTTGATAATGGGCTATATACCTATCAAAATATCTCTCAGAAAACTAATGATGCACAAGAAAAATTGTCAAATGCGTTACGTCCACATCTCACCCACCCCGAAAATGAAGCTGATTTGTCTCTCATTTGCTTGAATGAAGAAAAACTTTCAGCATCCAAAGAATTAGAAACATGCTATGAGGAAAACATAAAAATATTCTCTGCTAAACTTAAAAAGTTTGAGTCCATTGTTAAATCATGCTGTGAGGCTTTTATTAACGCTGCTGAAAGTGCAATTCAGGTTGAAGACATTCGAAGGATGAACACAAAAGAAGGAGGTTCATTTGAGGTTCATAAGCGTTTGCGTCAGAAGCTTGCCGTAACTACATCTCAGTCTGCTGAAAGAGCTCGTTCTAATTCTGCTCAATTTCAAGTCAATATGGTTAACTATCTAACACTTCATGGTACAATTAGTAAACTTAGCATATCTGTGCTAAAGGAAAGAGACAGAGTCTTAACAATTTATAGAAAGCTTCACTCTTGTAAAACAAAGGAGTTTAGTAGCTTTCACCTTGAATCTTCAAAGGTTATGCAGAATTGGCATATGAATTGGACGAAATCAATTTGTGAGATCAAAGCTTTGAAAAACAGTAACTGTTGAACCTACTGATTTTATTTTATGAAACAAATTGCACTGATTGAAATGCAGCCCTTTGATTTAAAATCTTTTCAATCCTACTTTCATTACATGACAATTGAACTTTAATTATTGAAATATAATTATATGTTGGAATAGAATTTACATAGTCGTTATTAATTTCGAAATACTGAATAAAGACAAATCTTGTGATTCTGAAAATCTTGTTCTGTTCAATGAAACATTTAAAAATTACGGTGGTCACAGTGAATGCATTAAATTTCAGTCACCAGAGCTGATAAATATCCTGCTGTAAATGTTCATTAGTACAATATCAAAATTATTTACAGATGACACAATGCTTTGGCGAGGTACTGTTCGATGCTCCATCACCCCAAGTTATCAAAAATAAGGTAAGGTAAGACCCCTAAATCTCCAATCATGATTGCTTAATTTTGCTACAAATTTTATATTAAATAATATTTACCTACACATTTACCATTTTCAGAAAACAGAGAAAGTTCACAACAGTAATTCAGTGTATCAGCAGTGGCAATTCAACGACCTAACACAGCGTTCACAACCTGATGATCAGATCAATTTAAATTCGACAGCTAAGCCAAAACAAGTTAAAGTTGTCAGAAAGAATAGTAAAATCCAGGCAAGAGATGTGTTTTGTCAAGATGAACCCAAAAACAATAGTAACACGTCAATTGCAGCTCAGGAAGTCCAAAAAACCGAATCTTTTAACATCACTCCTACAAATTGGAAACAAAAAGGAAAAAGAAAGACTGCAAAAGAAGAATGTATACATCAAGATATTAAAGAAACTTCCAGTTCTCCCAAACTGATTCGGCAGAAAAACTATGGTAAAATTAGAATAGTGATTAAAAGACCTAAGAATTGCCAGAGATTTGTCCCTCAGATCATGCAAACAATGCCCTCTAAAATTGGCACATCTGAAAGGAGAAAAAGGAAAAAACTTTCTGTGGACATTTTTGAAAAGTGTCTTGACCCTTTTGCATTTGTAACTATTTCTGATCAAATAAAGCATTTAACGCCAAACGAGGCCTGCTTGAAAGTACCTCATGAATTTTCTGTGGCCAAGAAACAAATTTCCGTATTTGAAGCACTATGGGCGCACAGAACATCTGAATTTTAGTAACTGTCCAACAAGGTTACCTGAATTTTTATTTTAAAATAATTGTTCTACTTGTAAATGCTCATGGCAGGTTTTGTGATTATAAGTAAGTCTAGCTACATGTACAAGTGAAAGTTGAGAATGAAGTTCAGGTATTGTTCCAAATAGTCTATAATGAAAACTTAGACTAAGACAATAACTGCACATTGTCTTAATGAATCTCGGCACTTTTCTTAGATTAGGACAATTTTAGTGTGTTTTGTTATGAAATCGTACAGTTTCACAATGTAATACTAGGTGCAAAATAGTATTTTTGTTTTTTTATTTTTGTCTAAGTGATTCTGTCCATAAAAATCTCCAACTTAACTTTAAATTTCATGTAAAAAGGTTGTGCTATGTGTAACCTCACAGGCCACAGCAGTGAACAAATGAATAACAATATATATATATATATATTATGTGAGTAACCACCTTTATCACTTGTCAAACTAAACATATATTCTTAGGTCCAAATGACTAGTCAGAGACAGAGTCTCAGTCACCAAGGTAGATTTTACAGTGACTTTGTGAGAAAAAGTCTAGACCATCATCCAAGTCATCATACATCAAATGGACCTTCGATAATGAGTAAAATAAGACAATTTTTCTGTGGTTGTTTCACAAAAGCACCGTCAAATCAGCCAGAAGAAATGGCAGTAGTCCCTGAATTGGACGAAGGAGAATAGGGCTTAGTATATTAATGAAAAGATTTTCCAAAGATTTATAGAATTTTACCATCATCTTAATTAATGTGTCATGAGTTTTCATGTGGATGACACAAGTTCACTGAGTTCACTGAGTAGCAATTTATTTCAAACAAATGATTTTCAATTTCTTTAACAAATTTCATTAAAAATGTCACATGTTAATGAAGCGAAAAGCAGTATATTTCTTATCCTAATAGGCAAAACTAACATATGATAAATCAAGACCGTATTATTACGATTTTATGTACATAAAACTGAAAACACATTTTGTAAAAGGTTGTATCTAAAAATTAATTTTTAAATGATTTTTTCTTTGTCTGGTATCGATCAATTACCTTCTTCAAGTTAGGCTTATGATAGTTAAGAGTTTTATTGTACGATATTTGGGCGCGGAGCTGGAGAGTGGAGGTTTGTTCCAGTTTACATTTTTTATACAATATACTGGTACACTTTACCGTATTGCTCTTCAATGAACATGCTTATAAATAACAATACGTGTCAACCGTCAAAATAATCTGTTTGGTTCAATTAATTCATTCAATTCATTCATCCAATTCATTCATTCATATTTTATTCGAAAGAGATGTGTATCTATATAGGCTGAGATATAGTGTCTTCCTAGATCAACTTTCTAGATGAACGAAAAGCAACTTTGAAAACCAATTTGATCATTTGAACTTATCTTTCTGCTCTTGCATATATTTTTATATTTAACCAACAGAATGGGAATCAAAGTGATCATAGTTGACATGAACACAATGATGTCATCCGAGACTTGCAAGAAAGTGAGCGGAATTTGTCTCCAGGAAGTATCCTTGTTAGCTGACCATTCTGTCCAACCAGCCTTCATGTTAGCATGTCTTTCTGCACACACCGAGGTACGCTATGTCTCTATTCCTCATTAGGTTTTTTCAAGTTCTTGGCACAACAGTTATATTCAAAGGTAGTTAGCTAAAAGCCTTAAAAATAAATGGAATCTGTAACTTCAGATTCTGTACCCACTACAAATTTTGAACGAAGGGTCTATAAGTGTATTGCGGCGAAGTATTGACACTCTAGTTCAATACCATAGAGACACTCCTTTGGTGGATGATAGCTCTGAACAAACGATAACGCAGTGTGTTCAGTTCATATTGAACACGGCTGATAAACTTCTCTCTAACACTTACAACCAGGTATTGTACTGACCACTGTAATTTAACACTTTTACAAAGCACATAATTACAACGTTCCCTCATGCATTACCTTACTTGATATGATAATCTGTATTCAATGATATGCTTTTGCCTACAATAGTTTGAAGCTGTTTCTACTGAGGTCTAATTGACCACGTTTACTTCTGCAGGTAGCAGGTGTTATTGATGTGCTGTTCATCACTTGTCAAACCCGATTGAAGGGCAAATTAGATTCTGTTCTTTCCAAGCAGACAATAACTACACCTAAGGTTAATATCACGACTTCTTAAATTATGTGACGCTACAACTGAGGGGAACAATTACCACTTGGGTCATTTAGAATTTTATAATGTTTGATCATCCTTTTGACAAAGAATTACAGTTTGAATTAATTTCAGAAAGTCACTGTGTTAACTATCGCTGAAGAAGAAAAAGAAGGTTCAGAAGTACCGGAATGTCTCACCGAGATAGACGACATTTCTGTGTCTCCGTTTTATACTAACATTCAGGTTATTACTTAAACATGTAACAAGGCAATTTATTTTGTTGATTTAAGTTGATGAATGGAAATTATATGGTGAATCTGTCCTATGTAATTTGCCTACAACAATCGGAAGAGCTGAGGGGCTGGAAGTATTCATTAAATAATTATTACTCCATTACCCGCATCACTTTCAGAGACCCTTGAGAAAGTGGTTCTTCGGGCAAGAAAGTGAGCTAGCTACCTTATCCCTGCCTGACAACCTCATATTATCCTGTGACTTGCTACCCTTGAGTATAGACCCTTCTTCTCTGTCAGCAAAAACTCAGTCTTGTCTAACACTCACTAGACCGAAAATTCCCGGTTCTATGCTGGTTTGTCAATTATCATTTCCGATCAGTTTATATCGATTTTCTACAAATTTTCTTGTCAATAGTGTTAAAATAGGTCATAAATCTATATTTCCATGACCATGCATTTCCAGGATAGGCAACAAGGAAGAAAACTGAAGGGGGAGAAGCTGTTTAAATTGGGTAAGGATATTTATATTGTTCCAGTAACTGATCTGTTGAAAATAAAATTCGTCAGTATTTCAAAAATGTTGGGTACCGACTATTTTCAATTGAATGATGTAACAGTGATTGTAAAAAGCACATGTTTTTGCTGAATAATATAGAGAAAAGATGCAATGATAAGATTTCAATCACCAATGAAAGATTTAAAAATACAAGACTAATAATAAATTCGACTTATTGTTTAATCGTTTCAATACGGCTGTATTAAATGTAGTAAGTTATGCAACATAATTATGTTCAGTTTGTTTCTATAATCTATAAGTCCTTCTTATTTGTTATATAACTGAAGAGACGGCATCTAGATAGATGAGGTTGCTTTGTCAGTTCCTGCAAGTGTCTTTTGTGTACTTGGATGTACAGTGACCGACATTCTGCTTTCAGAGCCAATTTCGGAGCTGACTGTCTTTTTAGAGCTGACCCTTTTTCTTATACTTTTCCTTATTCTTTTGACGATGAACGTTTTTTTCAAAAAATCAACAAATCCTGCTGTATCGTACAAGATGGGATTGATTACTGAGTTGAGAGGTATGAACACAATTGAGAAGAGAGAGTACCAGGGTGTGGCGTTCATAACTTCAGTGTAGTGAAGTGTGCAGACAACAAGAAAAGGAATCCAACACAGGAAATCTGTTGTTATCATTAATGATATCTTCCTGTTTAGCGCTGCGTTTTTGTTGGTTCCTCTATCACCCTGCAAAGTTCCCTGTGATATTCTCCTTGAATTGTCTACTATCAGATGAATCATAATGTATGACAGAGTGATGACCAAGAAGCATACAGCGTTTTGAGCAATGATGAACCACGTGTAGGCTCGTTGGGGATCATCAGGTGTAACGAAGAATTTAAAAAGGCACACACCCGAGTTCCCATAGAAATGAATCTTTTTCCCAATAAGGGGGCCGTTGAACGTAGTGAACATTCCTTGGACAAGTCTCTGAATTGTTTGCCAGCTCAAGATTCCTTTTTTGTAGATATGTCCGTAGTGTGCTCGGAATATTTTCATGTGTTTTTCTTTATCGAGTGCTCCTATCAGCAATGGGTTTCCTGGGTAAGCTAAGCTATTGACGAAGAAATCCTCTGCGGTATCAATCAAAGGAATGGTCGAGATGAGTAGTGCTACGATAATGAGAAAAGAAGAAACGCTCACTAGAATTATTGTGATTTTCTTCGTGACTGTACCTCGGAGTGTATTTGACTTCACACAATAAACCCTCCATAAGCTGAGCATGGTCATGGCGTAAAGGGAAAGCTGAGATCCGAATGTGCTCAGAACTCCCATTGTAGCACACTCTTGTCCAGAGAGCCATTCGTCAAAACGATGCTTGCAGAACGTTTGTCCATTGTTATCAGCTTTGAACTTGCTATCGAACGTTGATATGGCTATCAGGTAGATGCCAACACACATGTCTCCCAGTGCAATCAACAGTACAAAAGTCAGATTGGATAGTTTGATGATTGATTTCTCTGAGTAGAGCTGTTTTGCTGTAGCAATGACAGCAATGGTGTTCAGGAATGCTGCCATAATTCCAATTATCCATGCACCGACAGTAAGATATGATTTCTCTATGACTTTGAAATTGTTTTTACATCTTTCATTACATTCATCAGATGCATCTGAGCAATCACGGATACCATCACAAACACTTGAAACTGGTATGAATTTTCGGGAGGAATTACACTTGTAATGATTGGAACAGTTGTTTTCATCAGCTCCATCCCCGCAATCATCAGCTAGATTGCACACTTTGTTAAATGGAATGCACTTCTTATTGGGACAACAAAATAGCTCAGGCGTATAGAATGATCCGGATTGTGTGCCGGAATCAAGGAAACTAAGATAGGCCTCATTCTTCTCCCCTGTCGCATATGTAAAGACACGATTCTTCTGCTGGTAGGTACTTAAACAAGAGTCAGATTCTAATTTTCCTAATGGACATGGAATCTTTTCATCTGAACATAAACCTAAGCAACTTGAGAAGACATATGGTGCACCAAAAAGGTAACTGCATTGCAATTCCTCTTCTGGAACCATGATAGGCAGGTGGGCTGTCACTCCAAATGGCTTGTGAGGATGGATGAATTGCTTTAGTGCACAGTTGCCAGCAAGATACTGCAAACTATCCAGTCCTGGAAGACAGAAGTGAGACGCTCTAATACCACTCTTAAGATCTTGCAAGTTTGTGGGAATTATTTGATCGTTGGTTGCTTTGCAGACTTTGTTTTCCCGACCACAACTGTTGACATTGTCACACAAAAAGGGAAACTGCACCATTTCTTCCGTTTCGTTAGCACACAAATAGAACTCCTCACAAGGTGTCTCAGCCTCGGTGAAAGCAGTGGCCCACGGAACTTTGCTATCACCACAAAATCTCCACTCTAGACGATTTTCATCCACTCCATCTTTGCAGTCAACAACCCCATCTCCAATCCAAGTTAATGGAATTGGCTTCCGCTCACTATTATCAGCTGGATACCGTCTCGAACAGAGTGCTGATTTCGTTACATGACAGAGTTCTTCTTTCTCGTCTGCTCCTCCTTCACAGTCGTGGATACCGTCACAGAACTGATGCTTGTGAATAAGACACTCTTCTGCTATTTGCATGCAGTCATTGTCCATCTTGTCATCACACATGTCGAGCCCTTTACATATCACATACCTAGATACTGTAGAAGGTTTACCATCAATTTTACATTGTAAGGCAACATCAATGGGATCAGTGCAATTTATTTGGTCTCTGGCATCGTCACAAATCCGGTAGAAGCTCCCAGAGATTGGGGCGGTGCAAATGTTTGTATCTTTGAGGGTAACTGTTAGAGTGTAAGTTTCGTTGATAGCACGGTGACAAGTCCTAGTTACACACACTTCATCAGAAGAGTCGTCACATCTTGGGACGCCATCGCAATTATCATTCATCTTTAACCTTCTGATTTGTGTTACAGGTTGCTTAACTTCCGAATGTCCTGCTGTGATTCCATTGTGATAAAGTGTTATGTTACACTTTGCTTCAATGCAGTCTTTTTCATCCCTCCAATCCATGCAGTCGTCGTTGGAGTCGCAAATCTTTTCTGGTTCAATATACTTCCCATCTGCACAAAATAAACCCTTTGTGTGCTGTCCACACGAGGCTTCATCTGCACAATTCGCACAATCGCATTTTCTATCACAATTTTTAGAGGCAGAGATGTGCTGTTCTCGAGAATTGTGTGTTTTGCAGCTAAATCCACAATTTTTCTCATCAAGGTTTGTGTTTACACAATCGTGCTTACCATCACAAATCTTGTTTACCATTATCTGGCTGTCACTTCTTACAGATATGTTTTCTTCTTTCAAATCGCACACAAAGGCACCACAGAGACCATCAATATCATCTTTAGTAGTTTCAGTAATGTGTGGAGCTGTGTGGCCACATGCTTGGTAGAATTCCTTATCTTCAGGACAAGACATGTTGTAATAGGTGTTTTCATCAGAATCTTTACTCCAGTAAGTATAATAGTTGTCAGAATTAGGGCATTTGTAAGTGATCTCCTCATTTCTTTCCAAACATTGAAGCTTGACAAATTGGTGCTCTTCTTTAACTTCGCAAAATCTTTCGGTAAGTTCTTGAGCATTATCGTCTTTCGGTGTGTTTTCTGAAATAAAGAACTTAGTAATACTCCAGTAGCAGGGAGGGGTTGAGTGTGCACTTCGATGTAGAGAGTTTTTTGCTACTGAATCGGGTTAAATAGGTCATTGGTAACTCAAATCACCGAGGGGGGAATTTTGTGTCGCTAGCCCCAACCCTGTGGAGCCACGCCCATATTTCATATCAGGTGCGTATATGGGAAATATGTATCTCAGCTTCTGAAGGTCTTAGAGACTCAAACTTGAATTTAAAATGACTGCAATGCACATGTTTATGTTGGTACAATGAAGGTCATGAAAGCCCAAAATGCTTCTTTTTGGAAAAAATTCAGAAAAACCGATTTTCACTTGGGCACGAGTAAAAAATCTACTCTAGAAACTGAGTGAAAATCGAGTAAGCAGTTCAGTGTCTACAAAATTTCTAAACACAAGGTCCTCTGTTAGGTCATTCTGAATCAGAATTGATAAAGTAAGCAAATTCTATTAGTAGTTTCAACCCTTGGAGCCACGCCCATTATATTTCATAATATGTGCGTATATATGGGAAATTTGTATCTCAGCTTCTGAAGGTCTAAGAGACTCAAACGTGAGTTTAAATTGACTGCAATGCACATGTTTATATTGGTACTATCATGAAGGTCATGAAGGCCCAAAATGCTAAGTATTTTTGGAACAAATTCAGAAAAACTGATTTTCGCAAGCAAAAAATCTACTCTAGAAGTTAAGTGAAATCGAGTGTGAAGTTCAGTGTCTAAACGTTTCTAAACACAGGATCCTTTGTAAGATCATTCTGAATCAGAATTGATAAGGTACACAAATTCTATTAGTAGTTTCAACCCTAGGGTGCAAAACTCCTAAATTACCCCCAGGCGCAAATATATGACTTTTCTATCTCGGCTTCTGAACGTTGCAGGGGCCTTATGTACTTAATAATGATATCTCGGGCTAAAAAAGTCTTCTAGAGAAATTTGCAGCACAGTAAAACGTTCAACATGAACACATTTGGATAACATTCATGGAGCAGCATGCTGCGAAAATAATGAGTTTCAGAAGCTCCTTCCAGCTATCTTAGGCTGCCTTCTCCCTCTCTGGGGCTCTCTCCAGTGCTGCTTGGCTATTATGGCTAATCAACTTAAATCCAACCTCATGTAGCAGAATCTACTTCTGCTAACTCCACGTCAACTCTATCCAGCTAACACCATACGTTATAATTTTAGATCTTGTAACCTCTGATATGAGTGATACCTCCGCTGCATCCATCAATTTCCAGCTCATTAAGGAAGAGGAAATTTTCTGTTTCTGATGGTTGCTAGACAGGGCAAGAAGTAGCCCACTA